GTCGAATGTTCATAAGTAGAGGAGTCTGTAGTAATTGATGCTTTCATTGTGATAATACCAAGCAGATAATGCGTCCTCCACCTTAAATAATTCGTTTTTTTTTACAACACATCAGCCCCACAGCCTTCTGGGAGTGCATCCTATCACCAGCATTGGTTCAATACAAGCACATTTTTAACTAAATTCGAAATTTGCTGTTAGGCTCGCTTGAATATTATCATATCATTTGTTCTGTGATGACACTTTGTTTAACAGCTCCTGACCCACTGCTGGAAAACGTTAGTTTCAGAAAACCTTCTCGTCCGTTGGACAAACCGATAATATTACTTTATTTTACTGAGGTGAGCCAGTCTCGTTGCTACCCGTCTCAAAACCCCCTCTCTCTCTGCATCACGTGCCATGGCCCTAACGGAAACTGCAACGAGTTAAGACTAGTAATGTGCGTATGGTATGTTGAACTTCTTTCACACCGTTCGACGCCAACCAGAGGTGCGGGCGAAGGACAACAAACTGAACACGCACAAAACCAAACTGTTCTCTGCGTGTGTAAGTAATGAGAACGAGCAGGCAACAGACGGCGGCACAGACGACGCAAACCCCACCCCGTCCGCCCATAAGGGGGTCACATTGAGTTTCTTACAACTCTGGCTACAGTAGTTTGAACACCAGACGCACGTTTCATTGGACACCCCCCCCCCTCCCATGCCTTCAGGGCGACTGACGATAACAAACGACCTCAGACAAACCGCACATCCGTTTCACATGCAGCCGTGTCCCTCTGCCTGTGCCTCGTAGCGCGCCGAGCAATTGCTGAGCCAGAGGTGAATTATCCCCCTTCACTGGCAATGAGTCATCAATACATGTTTTAATAACACGACAATAGGCACAGCCACACGGAATGGATATTGCAGACGGTACAGAGAATCACTGAACCGAAGAGAGACCTATAATTCGTTAACGACAATGGGTGATTTGCATTATTAACAAAACAATGTCCCTAGCTGCCCGGAGCCCAACGTTACGGACGTTTTTAATGTAAAAAAATAAATGTATAATCGGCGTGTACACGTCTGTCAGCGAGCCTTCGACACTTCACGTGGCCTCAAAGTGCACCTAGCCTGGCACAGGCGCCGTGGTGACGTCACCGACACTTAGTGGCGAATGGCGGTTATTGGTATTGGTCTTTAGGGGCCGTCCATAAATGACGTCACGCGATTTTGGACGATTTTTGACCCCCCTCTCTTCATCACACGGCGTCACAAAAAGTCAGACCCCCCCCTCAAATATGACGTCACAAAGCTCTGCCCCTTCCCCCAAAAAAACATGCTTCAAATCGCTGTAAACTATTGTCATTGTAGTGCGTATTTAATGTGGCGCTGCACTCTGATGTTGTAGGAGAAAACATTTATTAAAAAGTCTATTTAATTAAGTAGAACGTGTTGTCTGTATTTATTTAAAGTTGCGCATTTGGATGTGACGTCACATTTCTCACCCCCCCCCCTCGTCACACATCGTCACAAATGTCTGACCACCCCCCCCCCCCAGGTGCGTGACGTCATTTATAGACGGCCCCTTATCCTGCATTTATTGTCTAATCGACGGGCTCGTCGCTCTGACTAACGATGTTATTTGAGGCGTGCATCTCTATTCATGCCTCTCCCTGCACACTTTCACTTTATTGGATTAAAACAAAATTAAATGACCACATTTATCTATTTATACATCAGAATCTTTATCAGCATCGTTCGACTGCAGGACGAATCCGACGAGCTATGAAGCTTTTTTCAAGATGTCCAGTAGGCGAGAATCAGCAAGTTCCAAAAACAAAGAATACAAAAAGATTGTCCCACAGCGGATACGCATGGACCCATTACAAATGCATCACTGAGCTACTAAGCTATAATTTTACACAGTGCACGCTCACCTTATTTACTAAAAATTACGCAAATGTGCGTCAAATTACACATTCCGTGGAGCAGCTTTTACTTTTTTTTTACAAACTCCCTCATTACACTGATTAACAAAAAAACATTTTTTTCTGGCCTGGACATTTGCAGCTGTTTACTAATTTCAGGGTGCTGATTCCAAATCTGATCTCAGATTTGCTCTATCACATCTCATTTTTATGCTATCGGCATACCCCATTTTCATTGATTTTACCCGAAATTAACTCTGTCACTTATGATTGCAAGTTGTTGCGAGTCAGTGACTGATTTAGTGTTAAAATATGGTGCTGTATTTTTAGGATAGTGTGTTTATAATATCATTTTATGTAGATATCCACATTTATTTAATATTTTTCTTTTGCAGTTTTTATTGAAAATGCAATATTTGATATCTCAAAAACCTGATGTGATAGACAAAAACTGATGCCAGATTTGGAATCAGCACCCCGAATTACATTAACACCGTTGGAATACCTCATGCCAGAAAAAGTGTGTTGACCAGTGTTATTAATCACTTCACTCACTCGCTTGTTCATAAATTTTTCACATTCCAAACACGCCGTCGACACTTCATGCCTCTTGCCATAAACGTCCCCTCGTAACATCCCCAAATGCGCACCCTCCCATGCGCTCGTAAAGTAAAACACATCCCTGAATCCTTGAGGCCACTGCGGGAACGCTCCATCGGAACCATCTCGAATGTATTTTGTCCAACTCTTCCACGCTGACGCCACGTCTCTGAGTGCGTCGGGAGTGAGTTCCACAGCACTTTAGTCCACCGCGTGCGACCGGCTGGTCGACTATCGGTGGTGCAACTCGTTGACATTGCAACGGGGGGACAAAGGCGGAGAGGGATTTAGGAAACTTGCCCCGACGTGTCTCATGTTATCAGAATCAGAAAGGGCTTTATTCGCCATGAAAGTTCGCACAGACAAGGAATTTACTATGGCAGGAAGGTGCATACATTCAACATGTAGGAATCTTAAAACTTAAATAAGTGGTATACAGTCTAACTATACTAAAGTTACAAAGTCTAACTAATACTAAGGGGCTAAAGTATGTAAAAATTTGAATAAGTATACAATATAAAATGTGAATTAGCCGTAATATACAATCTTAAAATACAAAAACACAAATAGGGTAACATGTTGTAAATATGGCAAGGTGTTATTTTGTTGATAAAATGTTATAGTAAGTGTAAAAGTCATTTTAAGTGTAAAAGTAATTTTAAGCCCTTGGCCTTGTGTTCTTCTAACTTCCACAACTAAACGAATTTGTTTTTATTTTACCACGTAAGGCTCGCTGAGCGATACAGCTCTTTTCTTTAGAAGCGACCTGACGGAAGTGGCTTATCACGTGGACATTTAGAGCAGCCCAACACTCGACACGCACGTTTCTAAATGTGGAGGGGAAAAATCCAGAGGTCCCGAGAAAATCCACACGACCGCGGAGACAGCATGCAAACTACAAATGCCACAACAGTGGACGGTCATTTAACATCTGAACCTGTTTCGGAAATACCCTATAAAATACTCGTCTGAGCTTTAAAACACGCCACCGATTAGGTTTGTAATGAACGTGAACAGCAGCACTGGGGAGACTAAGACAGCCGGGGCGTGGTTGCTGTCCAAACCACTCCCTCGTGTGCTGTTCCAGCCTTAGTAGGTGCTCGCTAACAGAACGAGCAGTGAGTGGAGTGAATATTTAATAACTGGGGATATTCTTGACTGGCAATGCTGCTCCATGTATACTGCGGGCATTGTATCTGCGTTGTGGGCATGTGCGTGTGTGTAATTCACGTGCGCCGTGCGTTGTAGCGCGTGAATGAATGAGCCGCTGTGTTCTTTTTGACTTCGCGTGCTATATAGCGTTGTGGGGAGCGGTGGCGCAGTGGTTAGCGCGCTGCGCTACGAAACTGGTGTCCCGAGATCGATTCCCTTCCACGGCCAACACCAGTGGCGATTTTATCTGAAATGGTCGTCGGCCTTCCAAATGTCGACTCAGCCTCAAATGGCTACTTTGGTGCGGTGTGTAACCATCAGCACTGGGGAGACAAAGGCGGCCGGGCGTGGTGCTGGCCACTCACCCCCTGGCGTGGCGTTCAGACCTTAATAGGTGTTCTAACAGCACTCGCCTCAACATTCTGTTAAGGCTACATGGGGTATCTTTGTCTTTTGTATGTTAGTGTTTGAGTGTATGTTAGTGTATATTAGTAGTTGAGTGGTGTGTGTGTTAGTGTATGTTAGGGTGTGAGTGTGTTAGTGTGTGTGTGTTAGTGTGTGAGTGTATGTTCGTGTATATTAGTATTTGAGTGGTGTGTGTGTTAGTGTATATTAGTATTTTAGTGTGTGAGTGTATGTTAGTGTGAGTGTATGTTAGTGTATGTTAGTATCTGAGTGATGTGTGTGTTAGTGTATGTTAGTATCTGAGTGGTGTGTGTATGTTAGTGTATATTAGTATCTGAGTCTTGTGTGTGTGTTCGTGCGTGTTATTGTATGTTAGTATTTGAGTGGTGTGTGTGTGTTAGTGTATGTTAGTATCTGAGTGGTGTGTGTGTGTTAGTGTGTGAGTGGTGTGTGTGTGTTAGTGTGTGAGTGTGTGTTAGTGTATGTTAGTATTTGAGTGGTGTGAGTGTGTGTTAGTGTATATTAGTATTTGAGTGGGGTGTGTGTTAGTATATGTTAGTATCTGAGTGGTGTGTGTGTTAGTGTGTGAGTGGTGTGTGTGTGTTAGTGTGTGAGTGTGTGTTAGTGTCTAGTAGTATTTGAGTGGTGTGTGTGTTAGTGTATGTTAGTATCTGAGTGGTGTGTGTGTGTGTTAGTGTATGTTAGTATCTGAGTGGTGTGTGTGTATGTTAGTGTCTATTAGTATCTGAGTGGTGTGTGTGTATGTTAGTGTATGTTAGTATCTGAGTGGGGTGTGTATGTTAGTGTCTATTAGTATCTGAGTGGTGTGTGTGTTAGTGTATATTAGTATTTGAGTGGTGTGTGTGTGTGTTCGTGTGTGCCCCACTGCTCCTCCCGTCCGCCTTGCGCCGCTCACCCAGTCGCCACGCTCCGTGCGCGCGTCTCACTCGCGTCTCACTCGCGCGCACTCACGAGAGGAGGAGGAGGAGGCGGCGGCGCCGCCACGCAGCACGCTCGCACTGCCGCCTTCTTCGGCGACACCAACACCAAAGATCATTCAGCGAGCATAAACAAACCCCACCAGCAACCACAACCACCATCATCATCACCACCACCACCATCATCACCACCATCATCATCACCACCATCATCATCATCATCATCACCACCACCACCATCATCATCATCATCATCACTACCACCACCACCACCACCATCATCATCACCACCACCACCATCATCATCATCATCACCACCACCATCATCACCACCACCACCACCACCATCATCACTACCACCACCACTTTCTCTGGTGCATCTGCGCAATGCAAGCGTCGAGGCAGCGCCGTGTCGCTCAACGATCCCTCGACTCCGCTGAGCGCCGATTTGACTCGCGGAGTTCAGTGCGCACCACCGACGCTGCCATGGTGAGAAGCAGCAGCAGCGCACGCGACACCGGCTGCGCGTGCCACGCCGCTCGTCTGCTCTCTTGTTATGCGTAAAGCGCGCACGCAAGTCAAGCCCGTCGTGTCTGCCTGCCCGTCTCTGTCCCCGCGTGCGTCTCATTCGCTACAGACATAGACACGCAGGGCGCCTGCATTGGGGGGGGGGGGGGGGGAATTGGGACGCAATCAGAACTCATGCGCCTAAATGTGTACGGCTAATTGAGGTGGTGGGGGGGGGGTCGGTGAAAGTGTTGACGAAAAGCCTTACAATTATTTTCATTATTAGTTTGCTTCAACGTCCACGCAACCGTTGGCGATTGAATGAATAAGGCGACTGGCGTAAGAAAAAACACACACACACTGTGCGCGCTTTGACAGATGGAAAGGAAAATTGAACGTATCGTTCACAACAGGGACAGCGTTGGACGCGACTTGCAGCGAACCCGAGACGTCTCCGCAAGGCAGCAGCAAGTACGTGGTGCGTGTCGACGGAACGAGTGTGCGCGTTTTTACAGCGACGCAATAACAGCGGCCCCGGCGTATATCCACTGCTGGGTGAGGGAGAGGGCCTCCTCCCCACGGTGGCCGCGGGTGTTTTTGTTTTTATGACGTCTCAAGGGTAAATAACTTTCGTGATGTCTCGAGTTGCGGCTGCAGTTAAGAGCCTTTATACAATCTAATTGTACCGCATTGTTGTATAATGGTGTCACTATAGGCGGATGCTGTTTTATATATATGTCTATGCTGGTTGCAAACAGTGTTCTATGCTCCTGGAGTAAAACTGTGAACAAATATAACCGCGTCGTCGGCTGTTGCGCGGCTGCTGCTGCTGCTTAGGATCCATCCGTTATACCGCGCGTCGTTCGGCCTGATGTCCGACGTTTTACTCCACGTTCTGGGAGCTTCTTCTGATATTTAACGGACGCTCCCAGCACGTAGTGTGATGCGCAGAGCAACTGTGGAAAATAAGCATATTTATATACACAGAGCTACGTTCGGTTACCGCATGTTAAATTCAAGTGTGTCAGTCCATCGGCCTATCGGCTTTTCAAACTACCAGCGGCATCTGTTGTGGTAAACAAACTTCAGATCGGTTTCGCTCTCATGGGCCTCATCAGCAGCCAGGCGCTTAAACAAATGTTACCGTGTTGCGAGAAGTTATGGGCCAAAACACTCCGTTTAAAACCGAGGGAATAAGATCCGCACGTTTGAATTGCAGCGCAGCTGTGACGAATAATGTCAAGTGAAGAGAACCCTTGTGGACACATCTACCACCTCGGACTCGTGTCGCGCTCCGTCGTTAAGGAACAAGTCAAAGTCATCATCGACGACCTCGAAATGGTCCTAGGAGAGTTGAAAGACGTCGCAAAAGAGCTGAAGGAGGTGAGTTAATGTTTGTTGTGACAAGCATTTCATAAAAAAAAATCAGCATCATCATCATCATCATCATCGTTGCCCATGACGAATCCACTGCTGGATGAAGGCCTTGCCCCAAGCCGGTGCTGCGATGCAACAATCCGTCCTGCAATCTGCAGCGCGCGAGTCGATCTCATTACTCCATGCACATTCGACGGGACGTTATTCATAAGCCCTTTAAGTTCATGCCCATAGTTTGTGGTTGTGCGCATGAGCGATGCTAAATAAGAAGGCTGAATTTAGCTGACCTCATTAAATCACGATGGTAATGCGTTTCCTTTTCACGGTATAGTTCCCCGAATGCTGCGCCTGTTGTTTGAGACAAAACAAAACCCCATCATCATTTGTGCGTCAATGGATGTCATGTACATGCACCCTGAAGGTCCGGCGGAAAGAATGCCCACAGTCTGAGCACTACTCAATCTGAACAGCTGCACCCGTGCGTGGATTAAGACAGCCCCTGCGGATTAAGGTCCTGAGCACAATTAAGAGAGTGGGGAGACTGATCGATATGAACCGTATATATTTATTTGGTCGTCGCCGTTCAGTCACGTCCGCCCAATGAAATCCCACAGGTGGTGAGCCAGATCGACACGCTGACGGGCAGCCTCAATCTTGACGAAGAGACGGACGAGTCCAAGTGCAGCACCCTCACCAGCTCCTCGAGTGGCGCCACGGGCTCCAGCGGAGGAGCCACGGTGCACCGGCTGAGCCGCTTCAGCACCACGGTCAGCGCCTTCGGCGGCGGCAGCAGCTGCAGCAGTAACAGCAGCAGCAGCACGGTACTGACTGTGCTGCGCCGGGCAAAGCCGCCCGTGCCGCCCCCCAGGACCACGCCCGTGTCGGTGTCGTCGTTGTCATCGTCGTCGTCCTCCTCCTCGTATCGAGGAGAGGTGGTCGCGGGGCAGGCCCAACACGCTTGCCTCCTTGTCAACGGGAGTCTGGTTCGCGTGCAGCAGCAGCAGCAACATCAGCGGCAACATCTGCAGCATGTGCAGCAGGTGCACCAGGTGCAGCAGGTGCAGCATGTGCAGCAGGTGCAGCAGGTGCAAATGCCCGGCGGGTCTGGACAAGGGGTGACGGTGCCCAACGGAGATGCCGCAGCAGCCTCTGGCGCCAGCGGCACGTCGGAGGTGGCTCGGAGGCTGCAGAAGTGCTCGCAGGTGCACCGGGTGAGCGTCACCAAAGATGGCGAGGTGCAGAGCTCCGCGTCCAAGGAGCGCGTGAGGTTCAGCGACATGGTGCAGTACCACGGCTTCGTCTACGACTCGGACCGCTCGGAGCATCGCGTGCAGCAGCGAATGCGGGTGCAGGAGACGCGGAGCATCGCCGCGGCGGTGCAGCACAGACATCAGTGTCCTGGGGGGGTGGTGCCCCTGGGTGGGACGGCCCCCTCCTCTGTGACCCTGGTCAGTAGCAGCAGTAGCAGCAGCGTGTTCTACCGTGCCAGCGAAAGCGTTGTTCGCTCCAGGGACGATGCGAAGCCGCCGCCTAAAGCGATCCTCCGCAAGTCGAGGAACACCACCGTCTAAAGGCGTCGGGGGGGGGGGGGGGGGGGTTTGAGCGGTTGTCGCGTACTCAGGGATATATATGTCGTCAACAGAGACTGTGACGGACTGCTGGCTCCGATACCGATGGATGTTAACACGTGGGAATGATGATATTTGCTCTTGTGCACCTTAAAAAAAACCAAACAGGACTGATGAAGCTGCGTCAGTTTATGCGAGTCGAGTATATTCAATAAATCATAAATATATAAAAACATTGACATTAATAAAGGTGACCCGTGACCCCCCCCCCCCGCCATCCCCGTTTAAAATAGTATCATGCATAACTATTTTCAGAAATGCTGATTTAAATGAACCCTCCCCCACATCCTTTGATCCTCCAAAGTTCCCATGCCATGCATGGTTGATTGCGAGTCCAACACGGGATGGCATGCCGCTGTAATTTATGTGAAAGCCATTTGGCAGCACGGGACACGGTAGGAAAGGGTCGACATGCAGCCACTTCGTGCCGTGACCTTCCGATCCCGCGTCACCCTCGCGGTTGTTGCTGTTTTAACCCCATTTTTACATTCGAGTGTATCATCATTGTGATGTGTTCAGCCTTTCTAAATAAATGCACTACAAGTTTCAATTATCTCTTTGAAGGAAAATAACAAAAATAAGCTTACTTGCACACACAGGGGCAACGTACGTATTATGACACCCAGCACTGTACTTTAAATAGGCTACTTAAATAAAAACACATCCATATAAATAATTATCTCAATGTCACTGTTAGGGGTTGCACTGATGCATTGATTATTGGATTAAAATCGATTATCTAAGCTAACGATACATGCATCAAATCACTTGCATTATAATCTATAGTTTGATTCATGTACGTAATAATAAATAAGACATTTTAATTATCCTTGTATATTCTCTGTAATACAGTTACATGACCCACTGCAGCCACCAGAGGTTGCTACTTCCATCACAAAGTAAAAACCTCGAAAATTAATTGGTAGACGGACGGAGGTGGTGCACGGGTCAGACCACGGAACTGGCACCGCTGAGATCCTGGATTTGAATGTCAGCAGCCACCTGTGATTGCAAGTGCAGTGTCGGTTTATTGTCTCAGCCTGAAATATGGTTCTGCACTTAAATTGGCTGCAATTTCAGCTCTGAGAATTAAAATATCGGCTTGACTGCCATCCACGCAGGGTAGGTGGGGGAAAGTGCTGCCCCCTACTGCGTTGACCAGAGTTCACTTCACAAACAGGGATTTCAGAAGCGGTTCTGTGATATCCGATTAACCGTGCGCTGTTCACCAGCTGTGTAAGTTTGCCCTGCTATGTGAGAGATCCAAATAAAATCTTCACTGCATGGCCTGATACCGATAGCACAATTTGGATAAGATTTGATGACGAGTGGGGGAGGGGGGGGGGAGATAAAATAATTGATTATTGAATTTAATTCGTTATTCAATTGTTGAATCGAGTTTCTTACCCTTGAAATTTGGCCATTGAATCTTTGGGAAATTCCGAGTGGCGGACGTATCGGCTGGTGAATCACTGCACCCAAGGCTTTTGTGGTGTAGCTGTTTGATCCAGTGGGAAGTCTTGATGTGCTGGACATGGGCAAATGGTAACGTCACCCACAAAATATTCACAGTGCCTGGACAGCATTCACCTTCCCTGTACACATCACGGGTGTAACTTCCTCAATAACACTATCACATATTGTTTTCGCAGTTGTGCTTGCGTGGCTATCGGATGTCTTTTCAGGTTGAACAACACCTAAATAGTACATCTAAGAGAGAGCTAAACAGTATTTGGATCATTGCTACTTGAGTACGAGTAATTTTTACATAAATTCACGATGCTGTATAAAAACATTCTAGTGACACGAGAGTCAATATTTTACCGTTTCTGTTTTATTTACATAGCATTACAGTGTTTGGTATTTACAAAGGATAATTTGGACCATTGTCAAGTTCATCAACCTCTGCATGTAGACGCTACACTTGATTACGACGTCTCTACCCCCCCCCCCACTGCCTTCCCACGATGAGATGCAGGGTCATTATTACCACAAACTCAAAATTCTATAAAACATATATTCCATTTTTGTGTAATAGTCCACTCTTTCATACCTAATCTGAATCAAATATTCTGATGGCCGGTTGGCTTATCTTGTTCCCTGCTTCAGCAGATCATTTAAAATCTAAATGAATTTTGTCACATCCATTGTTGAGAGCTGCATTCAGTCAGTGACGGCACACATGCACGCACGGACACGCACACGAGGCTGCACTTCCAAGGGCGATATGAGCGGCTCAAATGCTATTAGCTCTCAAGCCATTGGCCCAAAAATAAACATATCAGTGCCAGATGCTAACTATATATGTGTACTTTTTGTATTCAGAATTTGTTACGTTTGGGTTAAACCGTGGAGGTATCGTGCTAATATTTGTTTACTGTAACCTTCCACCTCCCGACAAAACCAAATCAAGTTGTCACGTCGGCACATGCAAATGTATTTGGTTTATTAGCAAAACCAGACTCTTATAATGCAAGCTGGAGATTGCATCGAGAATCATCAGGTTGTTTCACAGGAGCTCAGATCTGGAGTGAAAGCGCTTCCTAATCAGATTCCTTAAGTAGATGCCATGACGTCATCGGCACAATCATGCACGTGATGGGGATTAATGTCCTAAACTCTTAACCAGAATTACAATATTATTAAGATGCCACCTTCAATACGAACACAATACCCCTTAGCATTATTAAGGATAGCCTATTTTCACCAACCGCCACATAGATTAACTTTATTACACTAATGTAAGATGCCAATCACAAACAATCATTTCGCAATCAACTGTAATTATTAAACTAGATCACCTGCACGAATGTTGCCATGACATTGTAGCATCTAATTAAGGGCCAGGATCAGGAAGTGCTTTCACAAGAGATCTGAGCTCTTTGTTAACAACCTGATGATTAACACGTAGGCTTTCGCGACCAATATTATCCACAATCAACGTTTTTGGGTTAGATCGCGATATTTATTAAGGTGTCGTAACCCTCCACCACCCGACACGGCCAATCAGAAAAGAGTGTCACGTTGACAAAAGACAAATAGTTCACTGATTTAGCCCACCAGTGTGTTGAAGCGTGAAACCACAACATTTACAATTTTTGAGTACGACGTTTCGCTGGTAATTACATGCTGGATGCATGCTGGATGCAATTACCAGCGAAACGTCGTACTAAAAATTGTAAATGTTGTGGTTTCACACTTCAACACACCGGTGGGCTAAAGCAGTGAACTATTTGTCTTTTGTCAACGTGACACTTTTGGCTGATTGACCGTGTCGGGTGGTGGAGGGTTACGACACCTTTATAAATAACGCGATCTAACCCAAAAACGTTGATTATGAACCTGATGATGCTGGATGTAATCTCCAGCAAAACGCTGGAGATAAAATTAGACACATTGTGTTTGCCTCTTAGCATTCCGGCTTTTGCTAATAACAAAATCAATTTGCATATGCACCAACGTGACAACTTTATTTTATTGGCTCTATCGGGTGGTGGAGGGTTATAGGTAAAAATAGCATTACATCTCCACAATCATAACATTTGGCCGTGAAAACCTACGTACTAAACGTATATATTTTTTTGTGTTTTATTCCTGAACTGCCATGATTTATGATCGCAAAATAACCAAGGTAGCATTAAAAAAAGATTGTTAAATAAGGGTACCATGGTACGCTTGAGTGGAGAATATAATTTTAGTTTAAAACAAAGAAATATCTAAGTGGATATGAAAATAACAATTGCATGTTTCCATACAACAAAAACAGTACGTATGCGAAGATTTCTGCCCGAAGAAGATACTGCTCATGGTGGATATTTATAGCATTCGCCACCTCAAGTGGCACCAGCCGAACCCTTTTAGCGCTCTTAGCGCATTGGGCGATATGAGCATTACTGGGGATGTGCAGTCTTGGCATTGTCAGGAACACTGCCATTAATTAAATTACGTCCAACTGTTCTCCGATACTCGTGTTCCATTTCGTATTTCGGAGCACGATTATTTCCGAGGGGGGTTCAAAGTTCACGTCGCGCTTTAGGATAATTGACAAATGCCTTTTGTCTGCACGCTGGATGGACTCGATAATTGTAATAAATGACACGTATTAATATTAATGGCCACTCTTGTGAAACTGTTCTTAAGCGTGAAAGGTTACTATTTGATTGAAATGCGTTGTCACACGTTCCCACCCGGGTAGTGTGGGAACAAGAAATAAAGCACTTCGCGCAATTTGTATTCCCCAAATCAAACAAGGGATGGCAGTTCACACAAGTCAACGGCTGTAAAGGTGGAGACGAATTTCCCCGTGAAAATGCATCCTGTGGACACGCTGTTAGCGCACACGCATTAACAATGCGGTTGGATGTTCTCATATTAAAATATTAAAAACGGGAGAGAGAAAATTTTTCAGAAACATTGCATATTCAACCTCACATTCAACACCCTGCAATTATATTTAATACACACCGTGCACAGTGTATAATGATAAGGAGGATGATATATATACACATAAATAAACTATATTTATACGAACATATATTTAGCCGACAACAGAAACACGTTGCGTCTGTGCACATCTGTACGTGTCGTATTCGCTACGTATGTTTACAAACCACGCTTAAGCCTTTTGGTAAACACTTGCAACCCGGGATACAGCTCAATGAGAATCGCGTGTTCCTTCTTAGCGACGTGCGGGCCCCCTGAGACTCAACAGATATAAAAACAAAATAAAAACAATAATTCTTATTTTCATTTCCAATGCTCCAGAGGAGCGCACGAGGCTACTGTAACGGTATCGATCTAGATTTGAAGTTTTCGTGACCGCAGGGATCCATACTCTTTGGTTCTTTCGGTAAAGTCACGTGGGTATAAAATAAAATGCATTAAATCACGACGTTTCGGGCGCAACACAAGCGTTCGTCATCAGGTGGGACAACCACAGCAAGAAACAATTTGCTGAAGTG